CAAAAATTTTTGCTTTTTTTTTTTTCAATATTATATATATGTATATGTATATAAAATTTTATATATAATAAAATAAAATTTCTTAATCAATGATCACAACTCTTATTACAATATAAAAATATGTATATATTTAAAATAATATTGAAATTTATTTCGTTTTTTTTTTTTCTTTCATTTTATATGTTTAGTAGTAAACTCTTTTTGTCGTTTTATTGTTAAAATGTTGTGTCAAGTAAATTTTTATTATTATTATTCGTTTTGTTCTTTTAAATTAATTTAATTGTCTTTTTTTGAACTTTTATTGTATTTAAATGTTAACTTTTATTTTAAATTTGCTTTAATTCATTTATTTATATCTATTATTTTTTTTTCTCAGTACCTTTCTTCAGTTAATATTTTTCATTCTTTCTAAGAGCATCTCAACGCTTTATTTTTAAAATTCCACTCTTCTCTTGATAGGGTTTATTCTGCTTAGATAACTGCTGCTGCCGCTGCTACCGCTGCTGCTGCTGATGCGTGTTTTTGGAGCCTGTAGAAAGACACCCTTACCTTAGACACAAGTGAATCTAAAAAAAAAAATAAAACATAAAGAAACCGGAAAACGTAGTATGAATGAAGGTATTTTACAAATACGTTCGGAAATTGCTTTAGAAGAAATTACGTAATTACAAATGGAGAACATGTGGATGGCATGAAACCAAATACTTTCTAAATGCGCATAAAAAGAAAAAAAATATATATATATATATATATATACATCCAAATCTTGTTTTATACGACTTTTTTTACCCGATTTTAAAATAATCCGTTTCACCAATAAGAAAAAGTGCACACTAGGATAAATCTTGAAAAAAACGTTCTTGTAATTCTCATTTTGAATACGTCTTACCGAAGCTTATATATGCAGCAATAAGATATAACGAATAGGGGAAATACCGCCATCAGAAATCCGTTTGTTTATGTCCACCTACGTAGTGTTCGCGAATTGGCCTACTACGGAGAATGCCCAAATTTTATGATCACCTTTTTCTTCATCTCGTCGTACTTCCAACTTGAACACAGCATTTCGTTCTTTAGTTTTTTTTTTTTGTTTTTATTTGTTTTTTTTAAGTGTTCAGTTCGTAGGATGCAATAAGTAATTTTAATAAAGTTTTAAAAGTTGATGATCAAATTAAAAAAAAAAAAAAAAAACCAAACACAGGCCGTTAGTAACGAACGAAATTCTTCATTTGATTGAAAGCCCACCGTTGTGTTGGACATATCTGACATATCTAGGAATGGTAGTATTTTGGGTTCACTCCATAATATATGTTCACGCTTGTTATTAGCGATGCATAGTTGCGATATTGATTTTTTTACCTAATTGGATTATTTTTTAAATATTCAATATGATTTTTATTATTAACTTTTTTTGCACGGTTCGTTTTTTGAGAAATATTTAGAGTTTTCCCATCGTACAAGATATTTTTAAGTTGTGGTGCATGTTCCCCAATTTACCATATATCGCATTTATTTTTTTACACGATTTTTTTTTGCACGGTTTTCTAAGGAACGTATCTAACGTGTAAAAAAAAGTGTAGCATTCCATTACATATAACGGTCCATTGAAGTTTAGAAAAAGGCGTGGAACGGGAGAAGAAGGGGTTGCCGTCTGATGGGGGCGCGTTCAAATCGGCAAGCCTTATTCCTTCATCGGCTAAGTGCACTCTAAAACTGTCAGTATGGCTATACAACAGAGCTGAGATTTGAATACGTAAACACCGATTTAGTAGCGGCAACTCATATCTACTCGGAATAAATATTTCAGTCTAATGTTCAGTGCTTTTCGTCTTTTAAGTTCGACGAGTATGTGACAGTTGCAAGGTTATTACATTTAAGAATATACGATGCCGTCATAAGGACTATCCGTTATCTAGTTCCTTCATTACTTGCATAAAACTATGACAAAATTAAGATGAAAAGAGTTGCGAGAATTCGCTTTGGCCATACAATTGCAACACACTAAAGGATTCCTAAGAAGTGCTTCTTCTTTTCTTTACAATATAGAATTTGCATTGTGATTGGCTGAATTTCTCCCTCCGAGGACATCCTAATCTCTATATAGCCATAGAAGGCAATATCAGCTTAATAAATTACTTTCGTAAAGCTATTAGGATCAAACGCTAACTTTCCTTTCCAAAATAGAGCCGGTAGCCTATTTTCTTTTTAGTCTAAGAATTTATTTCATCACATTTACAAAAATTATAATAAAATAATGAATTTAAAGGCAAGTGAGAAAACTATAGTTTCAGTTAATAAATAATTAGAAATAGTAGCGAAAGAAAGAAATTTGTTTGCTCTCATTTTTCACAAGTTAATGATAAGCAAAGGAAACGAAAAAAAAAAAAAAAAAAAAAAACAATAAACCTAAGTGGAGATCTCTAAATAGAAAGCACATGTCATGAAAGATCATTGTTTCTTTGTTTTTTTTTACTTTGCTTTTTACAACCAAGAGATCAAATTTTGCCGGGATAATAGATGACGTATGGACAACCAGTCCAATTGCGAATTTTGCATGCGTTAGAAATGTATATTTCCTGATAGTCGTTTGTATCTATTTCTTAGGTATTACTATAAGTCGTGAAATCGCTATATATATATATATATATATATATATATATTCCGGCAACGATATGATTTTAAAACGATCTGCTCTTCTATTTCATGTCTGTCGATTGGACTTTCATTCAGCTCATATTGCTGATTTGTAGATCTTTTCCGTGACCTACAAACAAGTACTGCGACTATTCGTTTATTTCTCTACATATAATTGTCTTACTAGCATTTATTGCGTCTGCATATCGTTTTTGTCCGATATTGTTCACAATTGGCAATTCTTACATTTCTTCGATGCTCCTATAGACGGTCTTTGCTTCTTATATATCGGAATTACAATTTTTAGATCATCGAAATCAGGTTTCGGGTTTAGAGCATATTTAGAAAGATTATTGCCAATCTGCAGGTATTTTCTTTTAGTCAAATAGGCAAAGCAATGCAGATGGGAAGAGTTCTTTACATACATATTCAACATACAGATGGCAGACGGCCAAAAAGCCAGCAACAATTTATTTGTATGTCTATACGTATACCTTCCTAAACTGGACATATGGACAAATCTAAGTTAATTCAAAATGTTATACTATTTCGAATATTGCAGTCGAACAACGTGCGTTCGTAGTAAATGTAGGCGAATGAAATTTCTTTTATCCCTTGACAAGTTTATCACGACATTTTTGTTATCAGAAATTGCTTTTTATTGAAGAAAAATTGCATTTATTTTGAATATAACTATTTTTTTTTTTTTTTTCCTACGCATACACATATTATTAAATCATTCAGGGAATTATCAGCATTGTGACGATTAGAAAAAGGGGAGGAAATTAGGCGCGTAACGAATCGGTGGGTGTTATGCTTAGATTGACTAAGCACTCACTATAGCCTAGTGTTGCTCTAACGCGACGAGACTTGAACCCGCACCATATTTCATCTATATGATTCGATATTGACTTTTTACTTCCAACTGAAGTTTAAAGGATTTGAAATGTCATGCTATAGGTAAATTTCAAGGTTACCTGTAGCCTTTATATCTAACACTAGTTTACAGCAATCAAATAATTTCAGGCCATTTTTAATTAATTGAGCAACACTAAGCGCTCTACCGATACCAATTAACTCGTGAGTGTTGATTAATAAAACGGTCATCTTTCGTTAAGAGCAAATAAAAATGTTTACAAAAAAAAAAAAAAACGGATACGAAAAAGTCTTAATTAATAAAATCAACTTACTTTTCGTGAGAGTTTTTACTGAACCGAGCGTCTTTCTTGGCTTTCCTTAACTGGGCTGTTGAATTGTGAATCAATCTTGGTATAATATGTAAAGCGTTGATGATAACAAATATGTCTGTGCGTGCGTGCGTGCGTGCGAGCGGGCGTGCGTGCGTACGTACGTGTGAAATAAAGGCAGTGGATCACTCGATCAGTGGCAAAATTTATTAAACCGTTGGCACATTTTTTTTTTTTTTTTTTTTTTTTTTTTTAAAGAGGCATAGCGATTATAAATTATTTTCATTTTAATTTTTTTTTTTTTTTTTTTTTTTTAAACGATGTATCGCATGAAAGGCATAAAAGAAGGAGGAAATGAGTGGGGTAATTATTATTTTTTACTTTGAACTAAAGGTTCTGCCTTGATGTAAAATTTTGAAATTGTTGTTAGGATTGTTTGCCTAATGAACATCTTTTAGTTTTTATGTTATTTTTCACTTTTTAAAGCTAACTTGTCCGTGATAAGATAAGATTTGAGTGTTATATGTATTGTCTATTTATATTTTTCTTTCATTTTTTTTTTTTTCAAATATTTCAGTTTATTATGGCATAAGTAAATATTTATCAAACAAAAAAAAAAAAAAAATGTCATTTTTCAATTTTTGTCTTTTATCATTTTTAATTAAAAAATTTTTATTTTTATTTTTTTTATTTTTCATTTATATACAATACATACAACAACAATAAAGTGCACTCGATGTTGCAGCAAACGCAGAAAAAAATTAAAAATTAAATGAATTTATTTTCCATTTATTGTAAAAAATGTTTTTCCTTTTTTTTTTTTTTTTTTTTTTTTGAAACCTAAATCATTTCTTAAACACAGTCATTCTATAATAAATTATCGTTAAGTGATATGAAGTTTTATGGCAGGCAATTAATGTGTTTTTGTAGTGCATATACATACATAAATATATAATATATATTTACATATATATTTATTTGCATGTATAAGTGTTTATATGTATATAAAGTTTACTTCGGAATGTTTTAGTAAAACGGTTACTGGTAAAAGTCTGTTGTAAGTATTGTCTTTTATTTCGTTGTCGAAAATGTAAAAAAAAAAAAAAAAAAAAGAGAGAGAAAAAAAAAAAAAGAATTGTACTGCTTTTTTTTGCCTTAGTTCGAATAATTTCGAAAAATTCAATCAATTGGTTGTTGCTTCTAAGAATTCAATTCGCTTGAAATTATCCTATATATCAAGCATTTGCGTATTAATGACACAAACAACGAAGCTTAAGAAAAACAAGGAAAAAAAAAAAATTACAAAAACTATATAAATTGACATTAATAGTCGAAAAAAGCCCTGAACTTCTTTCAAATTTATTCCATAATTCAATTCAGCTCATCCTAAAACTTGTTCGCAAACCGGTTTTTTCTTTAACCATAAGATCTAGGAGATATTTCGACTGGAAGCAACTTTACGGAAAGAATAAAAAAAAAAGAAAGAAAAAAAAGAAAGATTATTGGCTTTCATTAAATGCTGAAAGAATTTGTTTTTAAAACCGATCTTTCTTTCTTTCTTTCTTTCTTTCATTTTCTTCTCTTAAGTATTATGTTGTAACGTTATTGACGGTTAATAAGATGTAAGTTATGAAAAAGCATGCGCAGCCATATTGATTTTGGTTTTCTCTCAACTAAACTAAACTCTAAGCGCAACAATCTCTTCTTTCTCTCTTCTCTACTTTATTGTTTTACTCTTAGAAGCCAAGCTCTCTTGGTTTTATGCTCCGTAAATAAAGTATCTGTGTTTGCGTAATAACGGCAGTTGCTTGGAGTTACATTTTTATTTTGTATCTTACTCAGAGTAATTGAGTGAACTTTTCGAAATTACTCCTAAACTAATATTTAGTTTCTTAAATATTTTATAAATTATTATAACTTATTAAAAGAAAAAATTGTTTTTTTTTTTGTTTTTTCGATTGTATCTAAAAAATTTTATAAATCTAAGCATTCAATACTAAACTAATGTCATAAACATTTACAGCGATTGTGGTAAACGAATGAAACGTTTACATCGTATAGACGCATGCTTAATGAGTTTTGGAGTTTCGCTCCGCCGTCAAGTAGTCTACTATTGTTTATGAAATTTTTGTAATTTTTGTAATTATTTTTTTATTTTTTTTTTGTTTTTTTGTTTTTATTTTTATAAAAGTGTATATTAATTAATAGTAATAGTAACAGGGTTAGTTAGATAGTCAATAGAGAAAATAATACTATCTAAGCCTCCATGCGTTGCTTTTGAGTAACATTTACCCCACTCAGCTCGACAGCGAGCTCTGACATAATTTCTTTATAAATCAAGGGATCAATATTTTTGCCTAACTGATAAAGTAAAAACCAATCGCCGATATTGCAACGCTTTGAAACTGCATCGACATCGTCGACTTCGGCTAAACGTGACCGGGCACGCAACATCAGATGACGCAATTTTGGACCCATAACAACTGCGATGCGATAAACCAATGAAATTCCAGATAAAATGCTGAGTATAATGAACCAGAACCATAAAAATACGTAAATTTTCTCATTAACAATATTTAACGGTAGTACACAAAGTCCATCGAACTTTTGCACGGAACCGGATGGACCGTATTTGTGGAAGGTGCATTTAGTTACTTTCGGAAATACACGCGCCATAGGATCGATACGTTCGTCTGGTTCCATTTCGGTAAATTTTAGGACATCGCTGCCATACGTAGAGAATTCGCCATCCAGAAAAAAGTCCACAAAATAAATTTGACCGATTACATTTATGAAATTCAAAGCCTCGCATAGGAAGAAACGAAACGCGTAAAAGTTGTGACGATTTAGATTTTCGGTAAAATATTGCACCAGTATACGTTTACGATCCTTTTTACAGTCATCGTTCACAATTGGACTATTTAAATCCATGACTAACATCTTTAGACGGCCTCCCTCCCATGATTTCCATAAATAGCGAGGCACGTAAAAGAGTATAGCTTGAAAGAATAATACAAAGCATACCCACTGATAATATTTATGATATTTGACTTCGTCTTCGCCCTCGACATGCGAACCGACACCCGGCTGTACAACGTCGCGACCGGTAATGCCAGTCAAACGTTCAGGCACTGTAAACGTAGAATAAATCCAACAATAGGTATCCATAACACCTAACGGTATCTCGTCCACTATGCAATCAATAGGATCACCAATATATTGTCTCGATGTCACTAGCAGCGAGAAGGCAATCAATATGATTACCGTTGCTTTATAGTGCATTCGGAATACATTGTTATCGATGCAGACTTGATCGATTTTTAATAGCCCCTTAACGGAGCCGAATACATCAAACATTTCGTTGCAGTTTTTTTTAAAACAAAAAGCGTATAAATGTTTAAATTATATTTTAAAGAAAAAAAAAAGGAAAAAAAAAAAAAAAAAAAAAAAGAAAGAAATGAAAACAAAAGTCTGTTAAGATGTTCTTCGTAACGAAAATTGTACTTGTTTTTTTTTTTGTTTTCGCATCCAATTGAGTTAAATTTGGATAAATATTTTGTGTCTGTTAAAACACTTGATTTAACTTCACAACCATACGCGTTATTATTTTCTAAACAATTCGTAATCGGGCTTGAAAGGAGTTTCTCTAAAACGAGATAATCTTTATTTTTTGGAATGCTTTCAGTAATTTTTTTTTTTACTTTTATTTATTTATTTATTTTTATTTTTATTATTATTTTTTTTTTCTTTTGTAAATATATGTATATTTGTGTGTATATATATATATATATACGTTGGGTGACAGCGTCACTAAACGTACACCTCGAGTAGAAAATTTCAACTGTTTTGTTTGATCCCTAACCAGACGATACTCTGTCTCTGTACTTATCACAGAAATTGAGTGACTTTCTCACTTGTTCGCTCCGTCAGATAAAATGTTTGCTTTTGTTGTGTATTCGTTTTCTAGCTATGCAAGCGGAGAATATATGTTTGCGTACTGAGAGAGAGAGAGAGAGAGAGAGATTTAAGAGAATTGTGCGTATTGAAAAATCGCTGAGACCCAACAGGTATATATTTTTTTAAATTTTTTATTCTTTATTTTTATGTATTCTATGCATTATATACGTATTTGTTTGCATAAGCATGGATGTGAAAGAAAAACCTGATGCGGTTATAAACGTTAACATAGAGAGTTAACTATAGAGTGTGGCAAGCGTTAGGAGTGTTTTTTTTTTTTTTTTTTTTTTTTTTTTTTTTTTTTTTTTTTTTTTTTAAATTTTTCTTTAACAATGCTCCTGCTTCGTGCACGAATACACATTTATGTATATAAACGTAAAGGTACGGATACGCATACATTTTTATTATTATATCTATCTATGGGGTGGATCTTGTTTGGTTGAACAAAATCAGAGTTACCCAAATTGTATCTAAATGTGTGTTTGTTTTCATTAAGAAACAATCCCTTCGTCATTTGTCGAACCCAATAATAATAATACTCACATTTTGAAGTAAGATGACCGAGCTACATCATTGAATCAATTGCTGCCAGTTGCGTTCTTCAATAATAGGTTTTTTTAGCTTAAAGTAACTGCATTCATCTGATTCATTAAATCGAAAATATAAGCTTGTCGTCTTCGTTACATATTCGTTAATTGTGTTTCTTCCTTATATACCGTAGTGTATTCAGTTTTCGTCATTTTCTCGTCTTGAAGACGAAAAGGAATACATGCCTATGTATTCCAAACTCAGGAAGACAAGTAAGAAAATTATATTCGGTCGTGATCGAATTTTGTATACCCACCAACACCCTTATCTTAAAAATGACAAAAAAAAGTAAAAGAACTAAATTTTCATGCTCTCTAAAATGGAGTGGGCGCGAGTGATTTATTATATTTCCATAATAAAAGTCCTTGTTGCATAGGCTTATCACTTAAAAATTGTTAACGGAAGAATGTTTACCATAAATACTAAATACAAAGTTGCGCAAACGCACAGATGGACAGACAAACAGGCGGACATGTTTAGGTGTATTCCAAATTTGAAACTGGCCAAGAATTTGTATACTTTATGGGTTTTTTGAAGCTTACTGCTACATCGATATAAAGGTCTTGAAAAAAAAATTCAAGTTTGATACATTGTAATGTTGGGTTGTCAATTGGTCAATTTTTCCCATTTTTGTGCAAGAATGCTGCAACATCGCCCAAAGAATATGTGTTTAAATTTTTTGTATATCTATTTGCTGTAGTTTATGAGTAATGGGTAAAAAATCAATTTCTCATTCCTTTTGAGAAAAAAAAAAACAAAATATTGTCAGTTTACGTGATGCTGTGCTCGTGTCCTTCGACCGATTTTCAATAACAAACCGCGTGCAAGAACTTTCAATGTCTTAGCGAAATTTGAAGTCAATAGCTTCATTTTTGCGACCCGGTGAATGTTTATAATAAACATTACACACACAGACAGACGGACATGCTTAAATCGATTTGGAAGTTGATGCTGATCAAGAATGTGCATACTTTGTGGGGTCGCTTCGTTCGGGGCGTAGCAAACGTTTTGACAAAATAAATATACCTCTCATCCTTCGGCGATGGGTGTAATAAATATTTATCCATTCTATGGGAATTCTTTAAAATAAATCAATTTCATATAAGAGCTAGCGACTGCGACAACCTTTATGTACGCGTAAGATCTTATAAGGGATTTTACAATTCCAAGAATTATAAAAAGCATTACTATGGGATATCGTGGACTTGCCATTTGCTTTTATTATACATTAATCAAGTGAAGTGAAGCTGTCTTTACGCAGCAATAATTTCTCAAATATATGAGAAAAGTTTCAGGGATAAAAATTTTAAAACATGAAAATCTACATAAGTATGTCGCAGCATTTCATAGCTGCATAATATATATATATATATATATATATATATATACATATATATATCTATCATAAAAGTTTATTCAACTTCTTCATCCATTTCTGCGGCCTATGAAAGAAAGAAAGCACGTAAGCGTGTAATGATAAAAAAGAAAAAAAAAATTTCTTAGAAATTGTTGAAATCAATTGAATAAATTGTTCTAAATCACGTATCAATTGTATGAAGTATTGTACGAGTAGTCAAAGATCGTATGTGATGCATAGAGAAGAAAGTCAAAACTGCCAGCGAGACGTATGCAAAAGTAAATCATATATGTATACATGCATACAAACATACATATATACATATATATATACATATATATATATTATCAAACTATTGGGAATTCATTAAACGTAAAAACCGAGAAAAAAAAAAGCAGTAGGAATAGCACGTAAGAATCGTCCAGTTAATAACGACGTTATATTGCCTATATTCGAAAACAGCACATTATTAGGTTGTTGGAAAAGTTATCATGCCTACAAACTAGATCACTTGATTATAAGAAGTAGAAATGTAATGCGAACCAAGCCCGAGCTTTTTTTTTTTCTTTTGTAATCTTAAACTGTTTCCATTTTCCTTATATCGTTTTTCCCTCAAATATATAGAAATCGAAAGTAAAGTATCGCAAACTGATGGATTGGACAAAGTTTTCTTATTATACGACACAAAATGTAGTAGCTTTCGATGGCAAGTTACTATAATATGAATATTGGGATTATAGCGCCTATACAATATAATCTTCTATCGATATCGAGGACTTAGGTTATGTCTGAATGCAATTGTTGGTCCAAACTGTCGTTTAAACTGTGGATTTGATTATCCGACCTTAACGATGCTCTCTTTCTTAACATGTTACCATAAATGCCACCTTTATTGCAAAGGACCCCATAGGTTTAATAGGTGCAATCAGTAAGTAAATGCGAGTAATATCTGCTGGAATTTGTTAGTGTGTCATAAACAACAAACTAATAGCAAGGGCTCATATTGTAGCAATTCACATGGTCACCTTGTACAAGTGTAAAAGAATATAATTCAATTTAAGCCAGCTATTATACTCTACACCATATGTGGTGCAAGGATATATTGAGCTTGTGCGGGATGTATTTACCACCCAGAAGGACTTGAGATAAACCCATCTTTTATTATATCGATCCATTCAAAATCGCTTTTTGAATCTCACCTCGCATGAGTAGTCAACGTCAATGTTCGGAGATTCCAAATCCCATTGTGAGAGAATTTACTTTGGTCGCAGTTATAATCAGTGCTCGGTCGGTAAAAACGTAGCCTTTACTGATTACGCACACAGTCATCGGGCTACGGTCGCTTCTCTATCTCTTCCCCTTTTCGACTGTAATTGTTCATATTATTAGGAGAAAAAAACTTATATCTCTCTGTCCATCTGATCTTCTTGTGTTCAGCTTATTGATCGTAATTTTTGAGATATTTTGATAAAATTTGGTATACCGACGTGTTTTTTTGGTATAAGTCCAAATGCTATTGACAATGATTCGGATTGGATCACTTCTTCGACCATTGCCCATATAACGTGCAAAAAAACTGAAATTTTCAAAAATATTCGGTAAAACCCCTGAGCAATAGTCGCTTGACATTCTGAATCGGTATAAAGTACCGGTTGTTAGACATGACTCGGATATTGCTGTACCGAACCGCATTAGTTTTTGTCGGTTTAATTTGATTACGTTCGACAATGTTTCGTGTGAAGTTAAACGTTTTTGATCTCTTCATGTAAGAGTGTAGAGTTACAGGCATACATTTGGGTTTGCTTGGGACATAATATATTCACGATATTCTATATTTTGTTTAACTGTCAGCACCATTTGTCTTCAAATGGAATAAGAGAAGTAAAGTTTCCCGCAAATGGATTATTAACTTTACTCTTCATGCTTCAACGAGATGATGAGATATGTTATTTTTAGACGCAAAGGATGAAGATGTCCGTGCGGTTCGGGTAAGACTAACTGTAGAATTATTCTGTATCTTACGCATATGAAGGAAGTTATTTGACTCGACTTTTTAAACTTAACTGTTCGATTTATAAGCAATAACCAACAAATAAACATAACAGATTTCTATATAATAGATGTAAAGAAAGATCAGAATACCTGTTGTGTGTGTGTTATTTACACAATAATGCTAAATATTGACGTAGTAGACCTTTGTCATCGTATTTCTCTTTCTTATGTTTCTTTTCATTCTTTTTTAATGTTTTTGTTTTTTTTTTTTTTTTTTTTTTTTTAAATTCATTTTTTATATGTATCCGATGATCCAAGTGAAATTTTAAAGGCTAATAAACTCAGACAGTATATTATGTTTCTTAACATTTGCCTATATACAGTACTATACACTTAGTTGGCAACAACGACTTTTACAAGCAAAACATTATTAAAAATATTATTTACTGACTGACTGCAGATAGTTTAACGAAAATGACTGTCATTTTTATCACAACACTGACTGAATAGTTCCCTTCGAGTCGATCGTAAAATTTACATAAGTTAGGTAGGCAAAGTTATTTACCTATCTATATTAAGATAAAACCTGTTGATGTTTCAAGCAAGATATGTAGTGATTTCTATTATACTACGTGCTGTGCAATAAAGTTGTCAAACAAATCATTTATCAGATGAGAGTTAAAAAATGAAAAAATATATATATATATATATATATATTTTTTTTTTTTTTTCCCCTATTTTAAACAAATAGTTACGCATATAATAAACTAACTAATTGTATCCGTTTGTTTTCCATGACTAACATCAACCGAATGTTTA